CGAAAATAGGCGGATTTAATTCGCGACTCGAATATAAGACTTACTTTCCGAACAAATAAATGGAAAGACAATACGAAGAACGCACATATACATAGTGAATGATTGTAGCGAGAGGATGTGCATTTATCTTTAATTGAATTTAGAGCAGATGTATTTGTAACGTCCTGTATGTTTCTCTCACTTGCATGCACACGCACATTCTTCATTTTATCTCTCTCTCTTTTTTCATTCCTTCGGATCGGTCGTGCACGTACAACAGAGACGGCGACGACGGTCAAGTGTGGCCAATAAATAAATGATTCATTTGAAAGAAGAAGGCTTGATTTAATAAAATTGATTAAATCATCTCATCAATACGATGGAACTGTGACCACATCTGAGCGCGCAACAATGGAACGGAAGGAATGAATTTCAATCAGACGAGATGACAATCGATCAATAAAGAATGTGTGTGTGTTGCTGCTGCTCCATTTCATGGACCCACCACCTAATCACGCATAATTTATCACTTCCAATTCGAAAACACTTGCTTCAACGCGCTCACACACAAAGATAATTCACTAAATATTTTAGCACATTCAACATCAAACTGTATTTCTTTATTAAATTCAAAATAATTGATTCTAAACAATGCAACAAAACAAGTTTTATTATAACCTTTTTTTTTATATTATATTCTTATTCAATAACCATACTTCTTACAAAGACATTAAATTGAATCTCAAAGCTTCATTCAAAACCAGTTTTTTTTTTCTTTACAATTTTCCTTTATATTATTTAATCAACAACAAAACTTTATTTTTTAAATAATCTTCAATACAATTTCTATTAGTTTTCTTAATAATTCATCTACTTTTAACTTTAATTAAATCCTTTAATAAAATAATTTTTTTCTTAAATACAAAACGATTTCCAATTAGAAAACCAATTAATGTAAATGAAACTAACAAATCTAATTTCCTCATATCTAATAATATCATATTTTGTTTAAATTATTTTGATATATTTCATAACAAATTTTTTTTTTGTACATACATAAATAACGTAACACAAATTACTGTTTCTATTTAATTCGATTGGTTTCTCCTTGAAAGTATACGTTTTTTTTTACTTTGCAGTTGCTGTTTAGAATTTAAACTCTATAACTTACACGCTCTTTATATTAAACGTAATTTGTCGATGAAAGATTTTTTTAACTGTTAGTTTTTTTTAATTTTGATATAATTTACTAATAGTGTGTGCGAAAAATAGTTTGTAAAACTGGGATGTAAAAATTAGAGTCGGTCGGGTTTTTGTAAAGTCAAGTAGGTGGATGATTGTTTTGCAGTCGTCTGCTGTAGATTCGTGCCGTATGACCTCGAGGTCCATTTGAGAGAGACGGAGAGAGGTTGAGGCTGCGACGAAGAAATTAGCAGAAGAGGAGATGATGAAGAACATCAACAACAACAACAAGAAGAAGAAAAAAAAAAGGATCAACATGGACATGGGAGATTTCTTAATGCTCCCGTCGCAGCAGCATGAGAGACTCGTTCGATGTGTGTGTGTGTGTATAACGACCGGATGTGACGTCATCATAATTTTCTAATCATCAATCATTTATTTACGACTGTGTGTGTATGTGTGTGTGGTGAATTACACGTTTATTGGGACGCGGATTCAATTGATTTTATCTGCTGTTCCTCTGTCCTTGTCTCTCCGTCATTGCGTGG